GGGGGGGGGGGGGGGGGGGGGGGGGGGGGGGGGGGGCAGGCCCAGCCTAGGACTGACACGAGGCCACTCCAGGAAGCTGTTCCCACTCTGATGAGGTGACTGGGGGAAGCCAGCCCAGGGTAGAGGCTTTCTGCTCTCTCTGCTCAGGTGGGGGGGGGTGGGGGCCGGTCTCCAGCCTGCTGGTGGGGAGCTGCTGACCCCTACTGGCCTGACCAGCAGGGAGATTTCCCAGGTTTCTGGTGACGCCTCCAAACGATTGACACGTAAAACAACCCAACATTAGCAGGCACCAAATGCCCCCGACCGTCCTGGCACCTTCTGACCCTAACGGCGAGCTGGGACAGCTGACAGGCAAACCGGCAGGCAAGGCCAATGTGAGCAGCTGCCACCCGAGCGCCGGCCCGGAGCCGGGGGGAAGGCGCCCCCCTGACTCCCCCCCCCGACTCAAACAGTTGGTTTTGTGGTGGTCATTTCCTGCCGCTGGCCTGCCCCACCACGGCCCCTGGCCTGGCTTTGGGTCCCATTACCTGAATGTTCATTTCCCAGAGATGCGGCGATGATCCCACCCCCTGCACAGCCTGCCCCACCTGCTGCCGATTAAAGCCTGGACTCTACCAGGCTTCCAGAGGCTCCCTCTCCCCAGGCTTAGGAATGGACCCTCTGAGGATCCCACACCTTCATTAAGGCTGGTTCCATTCCACTGAACCCAGCTAGCGATGCGATAACAGCTAAGGGGCCCCTCAAGAGGATCAGGAACCCCAGACTCAGCCTGGACCTTTCGAAGGACCAATTGCTGGCCTGTGACTCGTCCCGGCTCCCCTGGACCGCCTGCCCTACCCCCACATCAGGGCGACTGCAGCCTTGCAGGGAGAGCCCACTTGGCCTCTGGCTTTGCCCAGAGCCCCTCCTGTTCTCTGGGCTGGGCCCAGGAGCCTTTCTCTCTAATCACTGGCAGTCAACGCTCCCGCTCCAATGGGCAGAATGTCTTCTCGAGCCTGACAAAAGCCACCTGCTTAATGTCACTTAATGAGGCTGATGAGGGAAGCCTGTGAAGGCCTGAAGGAGGGCTGGCGGAGGTAGTGAGCTCCCCGCCACCGCCCACCCCCCAAGGGAGCCATCAACCAGAAATTAGATGACCCCTTGTCTGGGCTGCTCCTGAGGTGCTCCCCTGGTCCCTCTCTGGGCCAACTCTGAGATGGAGGGACACTGGTGTCCTGGGAAGGGTCATCTAAGTGCTCGCATGGGGCCCCAGGCAAGTGGGATAGAACCATTGCTTTCAGTGGGTCTCTTGAGCACCTTCAGATCTCTTCTGTGCCTGGAACTCTTGAGTGAATGAAGGGGTGTCTAAGAAGAGGAGCCTGGGGTCCCAAGAGGCCAACAGAAAGCAGAGAGGCCAGGTAGCTCCCTGGCATCCAAAGACCCCACTGAGCTTCAGTGAAAGGCCTCAAAGCTCCCCAGTGACTCTGCTGAGGCAGCTAAGGGGCACCAAAGTGCACAGAATACTGGACAGGGAGACAGGAAGAGCCAAGTTCAAATCCAGCCTGAGACACTTACTAGCTGGGTGACCCTGGGCAAGTCATTGAACCTGTTTGCCTCAGTTTCCTCTACTGTAAAATGGGGATCATAACAGCACCTACCTCAGAGGGTTGTTGTGAGGATCAAATGAGATAATAATTGTAATTTGCTTAGCCCTGTGCCTTGCACATGGTAGGTGCTACATAAATGTTGATTCCCCCCCCACAACCCCACTACCCAGGAGAGGAAACTGAGGCTAAGAGTGGGAAAGGTGCTCACCCAGGGTCACATGGCTTATCAGAGGGCAGCCCAAGGTCCAGTTTCCATGACCAAACCCAGAGCGCCCTCCCCAGCATGGCAGAGCCTGGCCTTGGGGATTTCAAGGCGATGGCTGCCAGCCAGGACACGGGCCAGGGTGCCACCTAGGCAGGGCTGCTCTCACTGGCTTGGCTTGGGGGGTTGGCAGTGGCGGGGAGCTCACTACCTTGAGGATTCCAAGGTGATGGCTGCTAGCCAGGACATGGGCCAAGGCCCCACTCAAGCAGGGGTGCTCTCACTGGCCTGGCTTAGGGCTGCTCTTCCTGCCATACCCTTTCCTTCCTTACAGGCCCCTGATCAGTGAGTCACTCAAGGACCTGATCCTCCGGATGTTGGACAAGGACCCCCAGACAAGGATTGTGATCCCCGAAATCAAGGTGAGTGCGCTGAGCCTGGGACCTCCTGGAGCCCAGGGGCAGCTTCCCATGCTCAACCCGGCCTCCTCCGTCTTGTCTGCATCTCCAGTCTCTGATGGTCTCCCTGTCATCCCCCCCATCACCCTCTCCTGGTGCCACCTCCTCTGTGACCCCCAAATGCCCACCTATCCCTTTGGGCGAGACATTGAGCTTTCTGCTGTCATGAGACTGAGGCTGATTCACACACTGCCTCCTTACGCTCCTCTGCCCACTCCGTACCTCTGATGCCATTTGCCAAGACCCATCTCTGCCCTCCTTCCTTCCCCACCCCCTCCTGCCTCCTCCCACAGTTTGCCCCCTCACCGGACCCTCTTCTCTCCCACATCACTCCCTCATGTCACGCTTATTTATATAAGGGTTTCTTCTGAGTATGCATGTGCCTTTGGCCCTCTCTAGACAGTTGTGAGCTCCATGAGGCAGGGGCTGTCAGAGCTGAGGATGGGGATGCAACTGGGGGCTTGTGGAGAGGGGACAATTTCATCAAAATAAAGACCAAAAAAGAGGAGAGAAGGACAGCCAAGCAGAACTGAGGGCCCAGCTGAAGCCAAAGCCCCTAAATGTAGAGTGGGAGAGATCAGCTTGATTTTGTATGTGGGTCCCAGCAGTAAGAGGATTGGATGGGGTGGGACTTAGCCTGCACTGAGGGCCAGCAGTCAGAAGATGGCAGGGGGTGGGGGGACAAGGCGTCCAGGGTTGTGTTCCCTTGAGGTCAAGATTGGGTATAGAGGCAAGAGAAGGTGGACTAGAGGAACAGGTTGGAGGGGAGGTCAGCGAGCATGGCCAAGGTGGCAGGAAGAAAGTCAGAAGTTGGAGGGCAGAGCTGTGGAGGGAGGACTTGAAGGTGGTGAGTTCCGAGATGTGTAGAGTCCGAATGTCAGGGGGATTGCCCCCACCCAGGCTGGGCTTGCTGACAAGGACCCTCCATTGCTTCTCTCTCATGAAGTTACATCCCTGGGTGACCAAGAATGGAAAGTACCCCCTCCCCTCCGAGGAGGAACACTGTAGTATTGTGGAGGTGACATTGGAGGAGGTGAAGAACTCGGTCAAGCTGATCCCTCGGCTGCCCACAGTGGTAAGCAAGCAGGAGCTGTCCGTGGTTCTGCTCACTGAGAGCCCCTCCCACCCAGGGCCCATAGAAAGCAGCCTGTTCAGCGTTGTGGGGGGAGCCTGCGGAGGGGGAGGCTTGAAAAGCTCTTTCAGCTTCGGGGGAGAGAAGTCCTGGCTATAAACGCTGCCCTCCGCAGGCAGCGCACAGCTGGACAGTGCCCCGTCGGACAACTGAGAGCTGCCTCTGTCAGCCAGTGTCCGATACCATGTACCCCCTCCTCTCCAGATCCTTGTGAAGGCCATGCTAAGGAAACGTTCTTTTGGGAATCCGTTTGAAGCCCACTTCAAATCAGAGGACAGGTCTCCATCAAGAAACTTATTAAAGTAAGTCATGGGCTGGGGGAAGGGGCGATGCTACATGGAATCATCAGGCTCCTGTAGAGAAGTGGTCCGGACACCAGGGCTGTTTGCAGAGTCTCCCTACGGCTCTGGTTAACACCAGGGAAGAACGAGCCAGTGCCCAGAGGCAGGGAGGTGAGGGTCGCCCTCATCAGCCCTACTCCGCAGCAACGATGCAGTGCTCTGGCATGTTCTGAGGCCAAGGATGCTCCTGCTTGTACACCCCCCCTCCCCATCCCCACCCATATCACTATTGACTTATCCTTGGATTTCTCAGCCGCTTCACAAAAAGCCAGGACCCTAGGGCAGGTCTGACCACTGCCAGGCACCTTTTGGCTGAAGGTCAAATGCACAGGCGCCACCTGCCCCTTTAGGTCATTCTTGAAGCCACCTCACTCATTTTCAAGGCCAGAGCATGGAGGGAAGCCAGGCCTGGTTGTTAGCCAGGGTGCCCCAAGCTGCCTCTGCAAGACACCCCACCCCACCCCACGAACCCCAGGAAATGCTCCTCAAAGGCATCTGGACACTGTTCATGCCCTGGAATCACTCACGGAAGAGCCCCAGGGTGGCAGTGGTCCCTGTGCATTTACTCTTCGGCCAAGGTGTGCCCTCAGTTTGGGTTCTGGCCCGGCTGCCCAGGCACTATTTTCTCTGAAAATCAGCAGGGTTAGGGTCAGGGTCAGCTGCCTCAGAGGCAATGGCCCTGGAGTCACCCCAGAAAGAATATCTTTGTGGCTAAAAAACCAAAAGGATACTTTTCCATTTCCATGTTTAACTTTGACCTAGATACCCACAAGCTTACATGGTGAGTCAATCCAGGCACTGCTGGGGCTGGGTCAGGGCAGTGTTGGTCCTTAGCCAAAAATGGTTGTGGCCACTGGCCACTGACCCCATGCATCTCCTCCAGAGCTGCTCCCTTCTTTGGGGTCCTCTCCAGCCTGCCTGCCACCAAGGGCTGTCCCCCAGACCTCCCCTCCCCAGCCTGGCAGCCATGACCTCCCTGAGGGGACAGGCAGAGGGCACCTCTCCCTTACCTCCCTCTCGGTTCTCTGTGCTCATACACCTGCCTCCTATGTTTCTTTATGAAGGCTGCCATGTGAATAATAGGCAGAAGCATCGTCAGTAGAGGTGGGAGTACAATGTGCATCAGCCAGAGTCCTGATAGCATTGTACTGTCCACTTGGTAAAGGGAAGCAGGGGGAGGGGGGCTCAGAGCTAGAAGAGGGAATAGGCAAGCTGCTTCTTCCCCCCCCACCCCCTGCCCTCCCCCTGCCCTGGGCTCCCTCCCCCCTGCCCCAGGCTCTCTCTCACTCACCACAGGTCCTTCTTTGCCCCATCCCCTCCAACAGATACAATGTCTTTGGGTTCCTGTGGCCTCTTTAGAAAAACTGTCACTGGCTTTCAGCTGCCCTGTTTTATAAAGCAGATTATTCCCTGGTCAGTAACCTCTGCTAGAGCTTTCTATGCACTCATGGCTCTGGGGGTTAGGGAAGGGGGAGAGGATAAGGGCTCTGTAGCGCCCAGATTTAGAGTCAGAAGTGATCTTATCAGAATTGTAAGCGCTCTCCAACCCTCAGCTATGAACACCTCCCCAGCCCGCAAAAAAAAAGCCCCAACCCTGCCTGTCTGCTCAAGAAGTATGGCCTGTCCCCTCTCTGGGGTTCTGCCCCATCTGGGGAGCTATCTCACTTGTGGGCACCACAGGAAGGCCATGGACTGACTGAGAAGTGTCCAGAGGAGGCAGCCAGGAGGGGCAAGCCTGGTATCCATGCCACAGGAGGATGAGCTGGGGAAACCAAGGGCATTTCTCCTGGAGAGACCTGACTGGCATCTCCAAGCATCTGGAAGGCTGTCCTGCTTGTTCTCCAAGGGCAGACCTCCGAGCACCAGGAGAGGCACACCCGGGCTCCCTGACAATTGCAGGTGTCCCTGAATGGAAAGGGCTGCCTCAGGAGCCAGTGGCTCACCCAGGGCCTTAAGCAAAGACTAGACCACTTCTGGTCCTTGCAAGAGGCTGTAATGGGCTGCTGGCTTAAGGACAGCTTGGCCTGGATGGTCTTGGGGCCCCTCCCAACAGTGCAATACTCTGATTAACCCTTTCCTACTTGGCTCCAGGGTGCAGAGCTAGGATCAGGGGTGAAAATTGCTCAGAGACTTCCCCAGCTCATATAAGTAGGGGCCTCCAAGGAGTCCTGTCTTTCCCAGGCAGCCCTCTTCACTCTGGGAGGAGTCCTGTCCTGTCCCTCCCAGGCAGCCCTCTTCACTCTGAGAGGAGCCCTGTCCTGTCCCTCCCAGGCAGCCCTCTTCACTCTGAGAGGAGCCCTGTCCTGTCCCTCTCAGGCAGCCCTCTTCACTCTGGGAGATGTCCAGCCCAAATTAGGCTCTTTGCATCCCCTCCACCAAGGGGACAAACTGAACCTGGCTGAGCCTTCATCCATGAGATGGCCCTTCCCATACCTGAGGCCATTCTTAAGTCTCCTCCTCTCGGGCAACATTATCCAGAGGCCCCGTCCTCAAGGTCAGGGGTATTATTTATAATACATTAGTAAGTATGAGAAGAACAGAGCCCCTGGGATAGTTTCGCTAATTGCTTTGGGGAGGAGAAATTGCCCCGCTTGAGCCAGGCTGTTAGCAGTCACTGTCCCCATCTCTGGTGCTGACAGGCTCCCTTCCCACAATGCAGGAAAGAAGAGTGTAACAAAGATGTGCCTGACCCCCATGAGAACCAGCCTGCCTCCTGAGCCCCCCATGGCCCCCTCGGGGGTCCCTGCACTGCTGCTGTCACCTCTCATCCTGGGATCATGCGCCCACCATGGACCGCCACAAAGGCTGTGAAACACCCTCCCCCAAAGGGGAAGAGAAGGGACATGTGGGAGGGGAGGGGGGAGGGGAGGAGCAGGCGCTGGCTGGCCAGGGAGCTTTGGGGACATTGTTTACAGCAACGCATGGGCCGAAATCCTGTCCTGCTAGCCTTACCCAGCCCCGGAGCCTGGGCCTCATCTCCATCCGTGCTCGAGCCCCCACAGCCTCCGATACCTTGACTAATGAATGTGTTTAATTTATAATTCTAGTGGCAATGGAGCTTTCCCCCACCCCAGTAGTGGTGGGTGGGACCTAGAATGTGAGAGAGGAGCCCTTCGATCTTCAGTGAGAATTACCTGGGGTTCCCAGAACTTCAGTTTCATGGCTTATCTAAGGGGATGTGACGCTGCTGATGGTGAACACCTTTCTGGTGTAGACATTAATGATGGCCTCTCCCCTATCCCCCTCCAAAAAAAAAAAAAAATCCAGAAGGGCCCTAGGTTTACAACAGGGATCCTCTACCCACCTAGCCATTACCACCATCGGCTCCTCTCTAGTCATTGTCCAGAGCCTGGGCTGCAGGAAAGAGCACTTTGCAGAAGGCTCTGCCCTGCGGCAACTTTGCCCCCCAGGAGCCTGACGTGGGGGTGGGGGACACCCCCTGACCTGGGGGAATTAGCAAGGGACAGTGTAGGACAACCCCCCGGCTGATCTGGAGGACCGGTTAGGGGATCTGGGAAGAGCCGCTGAGGGCTGGGCTGTGTCCTCTGGAATAACTAGAAATAGAATCCTATCCCCAAATCTCTCAAACTTGAGAATTAATGGTCTGTTCCTTGCCTGCCCTCCGGTCAGTACCATTTGGTCATGTCCCCAGGGAAAGACAACCATTGGGCTGACTTGGAGACACCCGTTCTGAGCAAAAGCAGCCCGAGATAGAATATCAGGAGAGAAACGGCATCAGCTGAATGGGGCTGAGTGAGCCGGATCTTCCGTGGGCCTGGTCAGTGCAGCCATTCAGGAAGGCACTCGGTCTCATCCTTGGGCCAGAGGTTCCCATGTGGCTGAGTTTTGTACTCAACTGGACCAAGCATGGAAGGGCACCAGATCAGGCCCTCGGGGTATTTCTTGCTGTCAATGTCGGGCCTCCTTCAGCCAACCAACCCTCTCTGTGCCCAGGGCGCCACTCTGCAGACCCAGAGCTGAGATGTGCGCCCATGGCAGACTGTCTCCTCTGCACTCAGGCCACCTCTATGCAGATGCCACTTGATTTGGGGTGCTAAAAAGAGTGGCAATGTCTAAAGCTTCTTGTTTAAGTGGTTGTCGGTTAGCCCATGAAACAAGGGCCAAGAACACCAGTTGCTGGGGCCTGAGGGCCCCAGTGGGAGGGGGGCCCCACCCTATGGGGGAGCCCCCAGGTCAACACCCAGAAAACACCAGCCTCGCAAAGCCCCAACGACTCTTGCCAGCCATGACAGCCAATTTAAAATGGGAACGTTCTGCCAACCAATGCCTAGAAAACATGTTCATCTATACGTTCATGTCCTTCCAAAGCACTACACTCAGAAACCAGGTAGTTCAAAGAAAACTTGTGGGATCCGTGAGGTTGAAAACAATGAGGACTGAAGCCCAAGGGCTCCCCAAACAGGCACACATGCTTTCTCCACACGCCTGTTTCCACATATGTGCATGCTCTATGCATGACCTGTATTATAATGTAGATTTGCTCATATATCAGCCTCTGTGTATTCACTCTCAAGAGGTGGAGGATGAGATAGAAAAGAAACCTCAGAGGGGAGCCCCTTAGGAGGACAGAGACCTCTACACAGCCCCCAGGCCTGTCACAGCTGAGGAAAGGCTTCTCAGAGAGGGGCCATGCGGGTGGGAAGCAGAACCTGAGGAGGCCACATGTGGGGGCCCAGTGGGCACTGTCCTCCGGCACTGGCTTATGGGGAAGTTTGGGGAGGACCCAGCCCCCTTTGGCCCCTGCTCCCAGGAGTCATGTAGAGGAAGGCAACCTGGTTGGTTAGGAAAGATATCCATGTTTGTGAGCCCAGGTGCCCAGCAAGGCCTCCACCTTGTGGGCTGGACCCACAGGGGTATCCATGCCCCCTGACTCAGTGGCCAAGCAGACCTGAGTGACCCCCAAAGCAGGGTCTGGTCCCATGAACCCTGAGCAAGTTCCAGGGGCTCCTTTCCCCCATCCCCCTCCTCACCTGAAGGTTCCTCCCATGCCCCTTCCTCATCTGAACACCTTGTTTCTCTTCCTTGCCCTGCCCCAGCTGCTAGCCCTGGCCACTCTTAAAGGGTGTCCCTGGTTCTCAGTGCTGTGGCCTGCTGACCACCTCACCTGGGCACACACACAAGCTCTAACCTCATGCGGGGCTCTCGGGCCAGCCCTTACACCTAGGAGGGCAGGGTGTCGGCTGGATTCCAGAGCTCCCCAGGCACACGGTGGGAATCCCTTCTCCATGCAGGGTTAGGAGTCTCTGAGCCATCCTGAGGGACTGGGGTGAACCCCACTCAGATATCTGACCTGTCCAGAGATCTCGAAAGGGCTGCCTGGGGAAGGAGTGATCAGAAGAGCTCATTAGGGGCCACTTTGGAAGGAGCTGGGGGAAATGGAATCTATCTGTATTTGGAGAATTGTGGCCAGACAGCATAGAAACCTGTACATACTTATTAAAATGTAAATATGCAAAAACCAGTCTCCTAATTTTATCATCACCTCTCCCCAACCTGTGCCCATGCAGGTGTGTGTGTGAGTGTGCGTGTGTGTGTGTGTGTGTGTGACAGACAGACAGAGAGAGAGCGAGTGCGAGCGCTCAGGTGGGCACTGGAACTCAAGGCCCAACCTAACAATGAGTAGGCTCATGCCATGGCATTCTGTTTCATTTCTAGCGGGAAGGACGAGCACTCCTTTGTCTAAGGACGCTCCCGTGCTCAGGTTTGGGAGCAAAGCCCTTTTGCTTTTGATGAAGGCACAGGGAAGCGTAAGGACAAACGTCCCTCCCCCCACCAGCAGGTAGTGGCTTCTGCTCACAAGCCCCCTCTCTGACGGCTGGACGGTTCCTGCTCTGACACGCGCCTCCGAGTAATGGAGTTTTCAGGACGGCCAAGGAACACTTCTGAGTTTTCATCTGAAACCAGCAAAGACTGCCCCAGAGGGAGCTGAGGAGAGGGAGGCAAACTCCAGATGGGGCATGGCCTCGGTGGAGCCCATGAACATGGTGGCGGTGTCCATGGCCATGATGGTGGAGCTCATGAACGTGGTGGTGGCGCCCACGGCCACAATAGTGGAGCCCACAGCCACGATGATGGTGCCCATGACCCTGATGGTGAAAGCCCATGGCCACAATAGTGGAGCCCAGGAACATGGTGGTGGTGTCCACAGCCACGATGATGGTGCCCATGGTCACGATGGTGGGGCTCATGAACATGGTGGTGGCAACCACGGCCACAATGGTGGTGCCCAAGGCTCTGATGGTGAAAGCCCATGGCTGATGGTGGAGCCCAGGAAC